GATCAGAATACAAAAGCTTTTAGAATTGTTTGACGCTAATTGCTAGTGTTGATAAAAGGAGGGAGTATACTTCCACCAGAGTCCTCAACATTGGGTTCAATTCAGATGTGTCACCCTGGATGTACCCAAGCCTTGTACATTGCACTCTGATGAGGAGCAATTGATCACATAAAAGGAATGTTGAGGAAAAGACCAGCTTTGACATTTAGGAGTTTATTACTGTGAGACAAAATTGTTCAACATCATACATACATCAATAATGTCAGTGTATCCTATAGTATTTCAACCATGTTTGGTGGGAGATTGTTCATCACCATTTATATTTCAACCAATTATTATGTCAAAGCATTAAAACGATTGATTATATCTATTAACCATTTCAAGACAGAAAATGTCAGGCTTAAATGCTCCTTTGACACATATTGATAGTAACTTTCTATTTTTAAGTCATATTAATAGTAACAATCTATTTTTGAAAGGACACAATGTTATTCAGTTATTTAATGAATGTGCATGTATGATTATCAAAGTCCAAATAAAATAGTTTTACAAACAATCACCAGATGAGGAAAACACCAGTGAGAGTTATACAATCAGAACAGCTTTAGTGTATCATTTCCAATAATTGGATTTTAGTTCTTTAAAAGAGACCTTCATCTGCACCTATTATATGTACTATTCTCAATCTGACACAAAGGGTAATTTACAGCAACTTTGACAGGTGTAGAACTACTATATAGTAGGTTGTATTCTCGTCTTACCCCTCATTCCCAATCATGCAATCTAACCATTTGATTATCTGTGGAATTATCCAGGGCCCCATTTTTGTACTGTTTGCAAATCGTAAATTCACCAAAAATGTTTCAACATTTCAAAATGCATATAAAAAGTGATTGAGCAAATTCTACCAATGTTGGACAGCTATGAATCCCACAATTAAATGCATAAAAATGAATTAAAATAATAGTGTATATCAGTGTTCGCGCCAGGGACGCAACCCATTTGAAAGATTTGAGTCCCCATCTAATTTTTTTGCGTCCCTCTTATTTCTTCACAAAGTTCAAGAAAATATTGTGAAAGTGAAAATAAAGTGGGCGATAATAGAGTGCTTACACTAAAATGGGATAAAAATTACATATTATTGTAATTTGATGCATCCTCCCGATAAATATTTATCACTGGGTCCTTTTCACACAATTCTTAAGTAATGTTATACCAAAATAGTCCGAAATGAATAAAGGAAATGCTCAAATTAAGAGTTTTGTTTTCACATTTTACAAACTTGCGATCTTGAAGGTCATGTCAAGGTCGTGAAGTTTTGCTTCTTTGTATTAACATTTCTCCTTATTCTGAAGACTTTTAGATGAAAAACCTCGATCTATCATTAAACAATTATCTTGATGTATAACATTAGATCAATATATAATGGTTCCTAGTGGAAATAATAAAGATAATCGTGAAAACAATCGTTTCAATTGTGGGGCACCACAGGGGATTTCTGCAATATTGTATGTTTTGATCTTCCATTTCGATTGCGGCATTTTCCGGAATATATCGGAACCAATCAAAATCCATGTCTCATACTTGAAACCCTGTTAATCTTCGGTAGCCATGATAGCCAATCAGATTTGTCGATATAAATATACCTGGATCATTGCTCGATATCAAGGTAGTGAGTCTGAAAATCTTGATGAAAATCATGTTTCACCGCTACTGTGCTGCAGTAAAAGTTATCTTGATGCAGTTTATAATTTTTGCGTCCTAGGGACGTAAGTTGATTTTGATTTTTACGTCCAACCTTCTGAAATTTCCGTAAAAATGGCAAAAAAACGGCGTCAACGCGAACACTGGTGTATATAAAGTGTATTACAGATATCACAAATAAAATGTAAGGCTATACATATTTCTTAATTGAGGTCACACAGAATTAGTTCTCTGGTAAGAACCCTTTAACATATATAATTCATTGCATACGGACAAAAATTTCAAATATTTACTACCTACACCCACTCTAATGATCTAACTATTTATGACGTATGGCAATTGACTCTCATTGTTACACTTGTATGACATTAAAACAACTTCTTTAACAGCGTATTTAAAAAAAACAAGCTCTTACCTTTGTAACGTTAAGACCAATAACTATCTTTGAAGTGGTTCTCTTCAAAATACAAATCTTTAAACAATGACTTTGAACTTAACTTTTATCCAAATAATCAACATGATATTTTTGTTGGTATCCAAAATTAAACACTAAATGTTAACCATTGTATCTAAACTTCTTGTTTGTTTGTAAATGGTATAAAATATATGTTAGACAATGATTTATGAGGTTGAAATGAAATAATACTTTTTTATTATGTGTAAAAAGGGACATAGTAACTTATGAGCCTTTATGAACGTTTAATCGGGTCAATGTTTAATTCTGTTATTTCTAGCGCAACAAAACAACCAATCAAATCAGTCGTAAAATCGTGAAGTCCTAAATATTTCATCAAATATCATTTGATTATTTTCTATACCCTTAACAATCAAAATTTTCATCTTAATGAGAAATTTCATGAGAAAATCAGTACAAACAACTACATGTATAATCCAATAACATTTACAGAAGGGCAAACTTATTTCTTATTATTTGAGAAATGTTTGAACAACTACTAAATCATTACACACATCAAAGGTCAAGTGATTGATTTTTAAAAACTGAGATAAGCTACTTCGAAATTGAGAAAAAATGTTGACTTAACCGATTGTAAAACATAAAACAAGGCACTAACGTGACAAAATGTCACCACCTCGTTGTTAACAGTATTATGAGTTCTAATCTTAGTCAACTTCTGAGAATTTGTAGCGAATCTTGAAATGAATAAAAAATTTGGTCAATTTGAAGCAAGTTGAAAACAGACCTTTTTGACCTTTTTTGACCTTGAGAAGGTCATTAAAGGTCAAATGTCAAATCTAAAGTCAGATTTGAATTTCTGAGAACATGTAGATGATTTTGAAAAAAAAAATTAGTCAATTTGAAGCAAGTTGAAAAAAGACCTTTTTGACCTTTTTTACCTTGAGAAGGTCATTGAAGGTCAAATGTCAAATCTAAAGTCATATTTGAATTTCTGAGAACATGTAGATGATTTTGAAAAAAAATTTAGTCAATTTGAAGCAAGATGAAAAAATACCTTTTTGACCTTTTTTGACCTTGAGAAGGTCATTGAAGGTCAAATGTCAAATCTAAAGTCAGATTTGAATTTCTGAGAACATGGAGATGATTTTGAAAAAAAATTTAGTCAATTTGAAGCAAGTTGAAAAAAGACCTTTTTGACCTTTTTTGACTTTGAGAAGGTCAAATGTCAAATCTTAAGTCAAATCTAAAGTCAGATTTGAATTTCTGAGAACACTTAGATGATTTTGAAAATTTTTTTTAGTCAATTTGAAGCAAGTTGAAAACAGACCTTTTTGACCTTTTTTGACCTTGAGAAGGTCATTAAAGGTCAAATGTCAAATCTTAAGTCAGATTTGAATTTCTGAGAACATGTAGATGATTTTGAAAAAAAAATTTAGTCAATTTGAAGCAAGATGAAAAAATACCTTTTTGACCTTTTTTGACATTGAGAAGGTCATTGAAGGTCAAATGTCAAATCTAAAGTCAGATTTGAATTTCTGAGAACATGTAGATGATTTTGAAAAGAAAATTTAGTCAATTTGAAGCAAGTTGAAAAAAGACCTTTTTGACCTTTTTTGACTTTGAGAAGGTCATTGAAGGTCAAATGTCAAATCTCAAGTCAAATCTAAAGTCAGATTTGAATTTCTGAGAACACGTAGATGATTTTGAAAATTTTTTTTAGTCAATTTGAAGCAAGTTGAAAACAGACCTTTTTGACCTTTTTTGACCTTGAGAAGGTCATTGAAGGTCAAATGTCAAATCTTAAGTCAGATTTGAATTTCTGAGAACACATAGATGATTTTGAAAAAAATTTTAGTCAATTTGAAGCAAGTTGAAAACAGACCTTTTTGACCTTTTTGACCTTGAGAAGGTCATTGAAGGTCAAATGTCAAATCTAAAGTCAGATTTGAAGGTCAAAAGTCAAATCTAAAGTCAGATTTGAATTTCTGAGAACATGTAGATGATTTTGAAAAAAAAATTAGTCAATGTGAAGCAAGTTGAAAAAAGACCTTTTTGACCTTGAGAAGGTCATTGAAGGTCAAATGTCAAATCTAAAGTCAGATTTAAACTTCTGAGAACATGTAGATGATTTAGAAAAAAATTGAAGTCAGCGTCTAAACAGTATTTGTTAAGTTATAGGAAGTTGTAAGAAATTGTTACAGACGCTGGACGCCAGACGCCGGACACCAACCGCCGTCGCAAAAAACGGAGACCATAACAATATGTCACCACTTTTGGTGGTGACATAATGATAAAGTAGGCAGAGATTTGTAGACAAAATTGTTTTTGTAATTTAAAAAAAAATTTTACGACTACTTCTGAGGTTAGTCAGAATCACTTTTCTGTATGCTGGTCTAACCTAAATATAAGCAATCAAATGATAACAGTGAAATAATATGTTGAAATATACATTCATATTTAGTTACAAAACTTTTGTATATTTCAGATAAATTAGTCATTATAGGTATGGTAAACTTGTGGCCTCTTGTAATTTACGGATTTCAGCCATGTTCTTCTTTTGAAAGTAGCATGCCAGAAAAGCATCAAAGATAAATACAATACATCACACATTTTGTTAGCCAAACAAGGAACAATCCAAGATATACAAATGCATCTAATATACAAATGCATTTTGCATCTAATATACAAATGCATTTTCGATATAATATCTCGCTGTGGTCCTTGATTGCTTATTTTTTAGTTTTGATTGACACACTGATTTTCTGTTCTGTCTGATTATTTGCAATAAGGGGTAAACAATTAAAAATCATAATGACTATACATTTTAATAACATCAATTTATAGATTTTAGAAATTTTATTGCTTATAAGAAAAGCGCCTATATACAACATTAGAAAAATTATTTTACAAAATTACAAATGTCAATATACATTATAGTCTATGAATGTATAGGCCTAGTATATGTACATGTATAGGATAGCAGTTCAAAACAAACCTATATAACAAGATCCAAACTGACCTTAAGTAGAAACATGCAATATCGTACAAGATAAACTCTAATTACAATACAAGAGATTCTAAACAATACTTACAAAAATGAAAGAATCCTTTATTCAGACTAGATTACTCATAACCCCATGATATACAATGATCGCCACAAGAATATCCCTTACATTAAACTACACATTCACAAATATTTCACAAAAGCATCATTATATGTTGATCAAATATAAATAAAATACAAATACTGAAAATATTACATATTCTTGTTTAACTACAAACAAATATGATTTTATTCTTTAATTTACCTCTCTCTCAAAAGTAATAATTATATTTTTGCAAGGGATATTTGTATGTAAGAAAGACCTTCTATTGTATTGACTTATCCGATATAATACAATGATGTAAATAATGTATGTGACTCTAATATAAACCACAGAGGCCATATTTTTAATTATTTTAATTAAAAGACATTGATATCAATAAATAACATGCATAAGAATAAGATTTTACAAAAAAACTAATTTCAATAAGTTACTCATAATAAAAAATGCAAAATTCTATGTTGAAACGTGAAATAGATAAGATAAATCAATTTACACTGTTTCCACAGGCATTATTTAAAATGATGATTTGGGTTACAGTATATATATTGTATCATTATTTTCCATGAGAAAAGATATCTATAAGTTCAAAAATCAATCCATCCTGCCATTAATAGCTGGCTATCTCATTCTTGGTCAGAGTAGGGAAGAATTACACTCAAAACTTAGAATCAAAGGGTAAAATATTGTTTATCAATTAGTAAAACCTAAAATCGGATGTGCCCTTGGTAGTACTTTACAGCTAATTTTTCTTGCTGACATAACAGGTCTAATCAATAGATATGCCCTTGATGTATAATTTATTATATTCCCAATATGCAGTAGCATTGCACTCAATTGTCCAATTAATGATCTGATGGGATGAACTAGTACTCCATGTTTCCTGTTCTCCATTGTATGCTGACAAAAGGCAATCATGCATTTTATGTGACAGCTTAGTAAATAAAAAAAAAATTGACTAATTGTGTTAAATAGTTTTAACTACATGTAGATATAAGTGGTTGTACACCTTCTTATTATTGTAGAGCCACATGATGAGTATTTTTTTTATAATTTCATAATTACAATTCCCAATGTTTATGAAATTGGCAATATTTTCATAATTCATGAGTATATTTACACATTATGGTAAAATACATAAATCAAAGTGAAATATTTTGTTACCATTATGAATTTTTTTTCTGAAAGTGCAGAACTTGAATGAACTGATGTGATATATTAGCCTGATAGTGATGCAGATGTTCACAATTCAGTGCTGATTTCGGGGAGTTGAAAATCCCGACTGAAAGTGAAGCCATCACTGATCTCCGTACATGCGCTATCACGATCATTCAATTCTACAATGAGATCACTGCTCAGAAAACTTGCAACAAATGCATCTGTGTTTTCGTATTGTGTCCCAACTGAGGAGGTTGTAGAACTCCCAGAATCCATAGATCCTGACTGGAAAAGTGTGTCATGTGATTGCTTGGGTCTCCTATGTCGATTGGGTTTGTTATAGCTGGTGTGAGTAGAAGATTTGATCTTAACACTGTCCATCTTTACAGTGTAGACACTTTGAGCTGTTTGCTCACCAGGGGGAGTTAGTGGTTGGTGTGGTGTGAAATCCTTCGCTAGATGGCAGCGACATTTGGTAACACAAAAATGGAGGAAGAAAATCCCTTGAACAATGAACAAAACAGCGCCAATAGAGCACACAGTAGCAATAATGATATCAATCCAACTAAACTGGTGTTTTGAGAGGAAACCAATAAAATCAGATTTAACAGTCCCATTACCAGTAACATTCCCATTGAGAGTGGTATTGCTATAATCAGCAACAGTATCATTGCCTGTGGAGATGACACTAACAACATATGTGGTATCAATCTTGATATGCCTGTCATCATCAAAATCATCAACATTGGTTTGATTATCCTGCCCGGGGCTATCCAGATTGGATGTTTTATTATAACGATTCTCTGTAGAGTTGTCAGTTATTTGTTCATTGATTGAGCTGGTATAATTGTCCACAGATGTTGCATTGATAATACCTGTGACAGGTGTATAATCACCGATGGTCTGCTCTGAGTAGAGTTTCTGTTCCTCAAGTACCCCTACACCTGCCTCCCTTATATCGTCAATCCACATATCTTCAGATATAATATTCCCTAATGTGTTATCTTGGTCTGTACTGGGAACAGATTCAGGTGTGACCTGCTCAAATATGAAATGTATCATAGGGGGAGTATTGTAGCCTGTGTTATTTCTTGGATGCACTGAAGCATAGACATCACCAACCACATTATGATTTGGTGTCTCATGTTTTTTGTCTGTATCAAATCCAGTTATTTCATTAGTTTCTGTGATCATATCTTCTCCCATGTCAACATTTTGACCTTGAACTTCATCAGGAATTGTACCCTCATTATTTACCCAAGCTGTACCATTCTCTGTTATCTTGTGGGGTAATGTAGTGAGCTCAATGGTAGTATCACCAGTCTCTGTTGTTACATCAGGGGACCCATCAATTTCTTCCATAGGAGCTTCATCATCATTTTCATTTAAGCTACCAACCTCTCCCTGAACATCCTTTATCTCATTATTTACATCATCAGAATCGTCCTTTTCACCACTGATCTTATCAAGAGCATGATTAACCCCAACATGTGGACCTTCAATCTTGCCATTCATACTGTTAATTCTATTGGGATAATTATGCTCAATAGAGTCAATAAATTGTCTCATTATATCACCCATATATTGCATACCCTCATCTGGGTAGTCTGGAATTACAGGTGAGATATCACCGGAAGATGTGTGCTCCTCGTTTTCATGAGTATCAGCATCAATAAGGCCATCTTTGTTTTCATTCCTGCTAATAGACAGAGCTGGTTGAGCATCATTTGGGATAATATTGTTTCCATCAAGAATTTCATCTTCTGTCATGTTTGTATCAGTATCACTATTCAAGTGAGCATTTGTGGTATTGTTAGTGATATTATTCTCAATTTCTGCTTCATTGGTATGGTCCTTATTTGGGTTGGTAATACCAACATTAAATCCATCATCAAAATCATTGCTTGTAGTGTCAATAGCATTAGATACATCACCATTTTCTTGGATCTGGGCTTTGTTATACTCAGTATAAATAGTGTTTGAATTTGTAGAACTGCCCCCTATGCCAGTATGGGCCACTTTTACATCGCCATCATTCTCCATAGTTTTACTTTCAATTTCTTCATGAATGCTTCCATTGATATATTCATCAGGTTTGTCTGATATTACATTCAAATTTTCTTCAATGTCAAATGATTCCCGAGTTACATCTTGAGTATTATCCATCCTTTCAAATTCCGATTCTTGGAGATCTCTATTGCTTTCAGCATGTACTTCCTCATGTATTGCTGAAGACAGGTTGTCTATATTATTGGCTATCTGTGGTGTTGTATCATAGCCTGATGATCCAAATGGAATTGTCCAAGATGTCCTTGTTAACAGATTCCAGAGAATAAACAACAGTTGCATTTTGAGTATCTGTTTCATTATTGTTGACTTTTAAGATTTAAGGAATAATATGAAAGTGTTTCATTCTTCAATTGAATTTGTCCTCTTGTGAATGTCAGTGTACCATTCTGCTAATAATATATAAGATATAATTTCATCAACTAGTTTTAAAAATAGAACAATTAAAAGAATTGTGACATTTAAATTGCAATTAAAAATAGTTATTTTATAATTAACACTTCAACATCAATGAGTCATTTTGCAAATCAGTCACAACATGGAATTTAAGTGAGATGAGACTGCTACATCCTATGAAAGGTTAAATGTAAATGAGACAGGTGTTTACAGGTAAATGCCCAGATGGGACATAGATATTTCTAAATTGCAAAATTACAAACTTATTTCAAAAAGCTGAATATGAAACTCCATCAGCATCAAATCATGGTGAAATGGTGTATGAAATCACAGATTTTTTTCAGAAGACATACAAGGACATTTAAAAACATTTGGCACCCTCATATAAAACAAGGCTAGAACAAGGCTAGGCATTAACATGCAAAATGTCACCACCTGCCATTTGTTACAAGATGCCAAACATCAAACACCAAACTCCATCCACAAAAACTTGTATATCTTTGATCCCTTTGTTTTTTTAATTAAAATTCCAAGATGAATGAATTCTAAATCATCTCACAATCTTTTTTCATTATCGACACCCTATTACACAAGATCTTTAATTACTGAATTCATCACAATTCAACAAGAATTCATTCAACACAATTTCTCATATTAGAGGCTTGATATTTGTAAATGAAAAGTTGAAAGTCAATTAGTCTTTCTTTCCATAACTTTAGATTATAAACATTTGATTTTGCTATGAAGATCATCTATAGAACTAAAAGTTTTATTTCAGGTAAATTCAAGTGAAACGAAATAATCAGACACCTGGATGTCACAGTCATAAAAACATATCAACATATACCATCAACAGACCAAAGTCAACCAATTATGACAAGTTACAAAAAATTGAAACACATATTTTTTAGAAAAAATTGGTTCACTTTTTCGTAATCTACTGAAAAAAACAAAATTTAAAAAAATGTACCATATATCAAACATAAATAACACTTACTTGTATTAAGCTTATCTAACAAGAAGTCTACATTGACTAAACAGCTTATAAATGCGTTTAATAACTGCAACATTTTGTCAGTGGACTTAACAGTAGACTGGTAAATAGCAACTGGTCTTTATATTTAAATTGTGGAAAATGCTGAAGATAAGCCATTGCACAGCATGGAGTCATAAGCCATGAGCAATCTCTAATGATATGGAATATGTTTGCTTTGATTTATTGGCAAAATTTCATCAATACTTTTTTAAGTTAAAGATGGAAATTTATTGACAAAATTGAAGGTATTGACAGTGCCAAACAATTAAACCCTGAAACTGAAACTTTTAATGTTATGATGTATTTTACAATTATATTCCAGGTATTTTTAAATTTTTTCCTAGTTTTAAATAAAAAACCCGGGTGGCAAAACTGTTCTTCAGAACATAAAAATTTACATTAAAATTAAAACTGAAATAAAAAATGAAAATAATTCTACCTTGTTTATCTTGTGTGTCATTTGGCCGCTTGCCTGAGGTTTGTTCATTGGTCGGAGTCTTGCTGCGCTCTCTATTGCTAATATCTGGAAGTGAAAACATGACTTGCATGTACATAAATTTCTTGATATAATATATAAGTCAACATTGCTGCGATGAGGTGTTCATATTCAATGGCATATTGAGCTGAGATATTTATAACATTTTAGTTTTTATTCACTTATCAATACTGTATAACAAAGTAAAAAACATGCTATAACTGAAATAAAGTCATATGAAGAAAAAAGAATATATGCACAAAATGGCATAGAAAGAGTCATATCTGCTCATGATATGACATCATTATATTGTCATGGTTATAAAAAAAAGCAGGCAATATTGGTGTAAGTGGGCAATATTGTTGGAAATAGCCCGCTTACTTTCCCATTGAGTTCCACACAAATACTTCAATGTCTATGTAAATACTTCAAGATATTTGATTGTGATTACATATGGAGGTTTTGCTGCATAATGATCATGCACAAGTGAATACCTTACATGGCAATGATTTATGTAAGTCAAGCATTCATTCTTTTTATTTCTTTGGGTCAGGAAAAAAAGGGATTATCCATCCATTGCCTAGTAATGCAGTGAAACATAATATGTATACACACATCCATTTTTCAGTTTACCAGGGTACCCACTTGGATGTTTTCTGCTTTTGATGCATTTTCATTGAAATTAGGTAGTGCTACTTACCTGGGGGTGTAGAGTGGGTGGGGGTCTCTGCGGGAGAGTTAGACATTGTTGGTCCTAAATTGTTACTTTGTGCAGGGGATACAGGCTGAAAAGCAATGGAAATATATTAGTACTATTTTTAATATGTATATATGTATGTGTGAAACTATTTAACTACTACTTTACTAAAATAAATGTTAGATCATCATGATAATAGTGAATGTATGCATAACATTACATTATATGGGTTTCTTTCCAAATACACAACATAAGGATCAAAATTATCTCCCTTAGGTTGTAAAGGGCTAAAAATGTACTCTATAAACTATAACAACACTTTAAATACAGTCTTCACAATTGGTCATTCTTATAAAAATCAAAGAAAATGTTCACATATTGACATGATTACTTTCATTTGTTAGATACACAGGTTATACTGTTCACATATTATTCAATGAGTATTAAACTTACAGGTTTAATCACAGGTGTTTTTCTACCTTTGTTCGGAGTCAACATTCCTGAAAAAACACAATATGTTTTGAGAATGAAACATTTATTTCACAAATAATTTTGTTGAGATACATGCACCATGCACTTTTCTTTGGTTATTTTCACCTAATTTGCCTGTTGTTATTGCTCATAATTTCGTTATACATGTAATTTCAGAAAAATTGACAGTATTCATTTATTTTGCCTGTTGTCAAAAAACTACAGAAACCCCTGATTTCAATATTTCTTTCCTTGGCAATGTGTACTTAAAACTCACCTCCCCGTTGAACTGTAACCAAAGCTTCTTTATCCCTCGTGCAATTTTTCAACACCTGTACAACTTCCGAGTGATTTGAGTCTTTAACTTTAATATGGTTTATCTCTACCAAAATGTCCCCCTCCTGTAAAGTCTTACAGCGATCTTTATCGAGAATTTGTTTCACTTTTTGTCCATATGCACTATCGGCTATTGTGAATCCAAACCCCATTACACCTTTAACAATCCCCACTGAAAGTAGTTCCGGTTTGGAACTACTTGGAAATAAACTCAAAACATCTGGTATAGTGCTATCGTCATTTTGCAATAAATCAGACGAATTGCCATCCGTTGCATCAGTAAATTTACTAGAAGCCTCATTTTCAGAGTTTTTTAATTGCATATTATTGGAATTCGGTACATTGGCCGCAACATCGGGTAATGTACTATTTGAAATTATTTTTTTCTGATTCTGATCTCTTGACGAATACGCTGGTGGACTTTGCGTAGAGTTCGTAGTTTGAGGTAATGTCACTGCAACCGTTGTTCTGATTTCTGTGTCTGGATCATCGGGGTCGAAAGGTAAATTGTAGCCCCTGCATACTTCTATTGAGACTCTTTCATTGGCGGGGATACTTTGGAAGAGTGAGACAACGTCTTGGTGTGTAAAGCCAAGCACACATTTCTCATTTATATGCACCAGGATATCACCTGAAATATATAAAGGAATGTAACAACGAATTAAATGAAAAAAAATAAAATAAACAAGGTCAGTTGCAATAACAAATGAGTAACAAATTGTTAAAAATACCCAATAATGGTCACAAAAATGGTGGCTATAACAATGTGTTTTCACTTAATGGTCACAATGTGAAGAGAAACCAACATACAGCAAAGTGAAACATTCTGGAGTTTGCAATCTGTCAACTACTTCATATTCATATTCAATATTACTGAAGTGGTAACTTTGTGACTCTAAGAGACCAAAGACTTGATGCAAAAATAATGAAGTGGATTATAAAGATATTTCTCCTTTTGACAAACGTGTCAAAGCATGACACATTACTCTATGTACAAACTAAGAAACTAATCTAACTAAAAACTAACTTTTAACTATGAGAATACTTGGATAAAATTAACTCTAAGATAAAACTACATATAGAAAGGACTTCAATTGTCAATTTACATGTATATTCCATGATCAAGTTAAATCTTATCCAATATTCACCATTTAATAACAAGGCATTAACATGCAAAATCTCACCACCTGCCATTTGTTACAGATGCCAACTGCTGAACACCAACCACAAAATGCCTAATGCCAAACACCAGCATCCACAAAAAAGTTGGAGACATGTATAACAGTATGGCGCCACTTAAGGTAGTGACATTATTATACTGCATAATCATATTGTAAAAGGAAGAAGTGATTCAATAAGAGTGAAATATTTTAACATTAATTCCCATACCTTGTTTTATTATTCCATTGATGTCTGCAGGGCCATCAGGCACAACGGTCTTACATTGTAAAAATTCATCATCTCGCTCTTCACCACCAATGATCGTGAAGCCGAAACCCCGTACACTTTTTGTAAGATTTGCCACCAAATATTCTCCTTTCAACTCTGCTGGATTTTTGGTGAAAAAAGGCATTGGCTTCTTTGTGCTTGCTGGAAATTCGATAATCACATAAATAAATTAATCACATTAATTAATCATATTACGACAGAAATTTTTTTACAGTATCGACAGAATCAATACACTTGATATGTTATAAATCTTTGTACAACTAGGCATCTGATTCCATAAGTTTACCAGATTCAGCAATTTGAAAAAAATTGAGTGAAATACTACATTCTATACTGAATCATTCTTCGAAGAAATACCTGAGATTAAGACAATCTATATTGTTCATTTATGCTATATACAATTATACTTCTGTCATACACATTGAACACTCCAGCTAGACAAAAAATTCAAAGTTGAGCTATTCAAAAATTAGAGTTGCATTTTATGTGCCACCCTTTATCTTAAACATCAATATGCAAGCTACTTATGAGAGTACTACTTTTTCATATGTTGGACATTCAATATTGAAGATCAAAATTGAGAAAGTAATTCCAAAATTAGAATTGCATTTTTATGTCACCCTTTATCTTAGCCAACAACATGCAAAAAGGAAATAAATAAATTGAAAGCTAGCACAAAATGAGAGAATTGCATTTCATGTGCCATCTTTTATCTTGGCCAACATACCTGTGCTTGTTCCATTTACTTTGGACTCACTACTTGATCGTTTTGGCATATTATTATTAGATTGCTCTTGTCTCTTGTTTGTTCTGGGTAGTGTACTGTTTCCACTGTCATTGCTATCTGCTGGAAGAATTCAAGAAACTTTAATTGGGAAATTATCTTTCTTGTTTCTTCTGTCAAAATCCAATACTCTAAGTTATTGAATGATTTGAAGTGCAATACAGGATATATTTTGCTCGCCTTTATGGAGTGAAATATAAAATGAATGCCAGCTACCTTCTATGACACAAAATGAGTGTTCTAATTTTCTGAAGCCGTCAATTGTATTGAAGAATCATTCCTATTTAGAGCTTTTGTAAAGGGGAGATTAATGTACATGAATTTTTAAAAGATATAATATGGGGGTCAGTATATCATACCTGCTTTAGGCGACATCTGTTGATCACTGCTGACACTAGCGGCCCTAATCCCCTTAGCTTTCAATACGGGATTCTCATACTGGGTCTTCCTGTTCACGTGACTATAATGGGAAATGTACAATAATTGAATCAAAGGCAGATATCTGAATGAAACAAATGGTTAATTTAATGGGGTTAATTGAAAATGTACAACTAATTTTGAATTGAATATCAAACTTTGGACCACAAATCTCTCCTAAAATATTGTATGGTTAATAGACAACTCTACAAATACTTTGTTAGGAAAGAGAAAACACTCTGCAAAGAATTTGAAAAGGACACCTAATATGTGTGTTAGAACTACATTTTGAAATTCAAAAAATGAACTTACTCGATGTAATATGTGCCATAATGCGGATCTTCCACCTTCTCCCAGCCATAAGGCAGCTCTGAAGAATATAATAAATAAGTGAATTCAAGTCGATGATGTATTGTGCAGAATTCATAGATATAGAGGTACACAGCCAACTGAAAAACTTGCAAGATGGTTCTTGTAGCAAGATACTTATATTTTGGATTAAAAAACAGTGTAAAATATAAATTCAACATATGGAGTCCATGGACTTAAAAAAACCGCACATTATGAATTATACATATTCTACAGTATATCAAGAAATATAAATATAACATAGTATATCTCATGTTGAGGAAGCAAAACATGTCAAAATTGAAGTCTGGAAATAGAAATGCTAAAATAATGTTTTAAAGTATGACATTTTCCAGTCATCTTTTAAAGTAGCTCCACCCTCTAGACAAGCTTTTAGGTTGTTTACAAGTTGTTTATGCTTTAAAGGTCCTGAAGAAGAAAATGTTTCTCTGATATGTGATCAAATGCTACTGTAGTGATCTCTCCAGCATTAAAGCAAGTGGGCATAGCACCAACTTGAGATTTTAATAACAGGCATGCCCCACCTGAGAATCCATATCCACCTGACTGAAAATGAGAAAATCATAAAATAGGAATATTTTGACTAGCTTTAATTTAAATTGTGAAAATAAAGTTTTCACCCACTTGAGAAAAAATTCTGTGAAGAACACTGAACTGTATAGGTGGGTCATTAGATCTTATGGGTGACCTTATTATTTTCAGATAAATTCCTCATTTGAACAGGAAAAGTTTGCGTCCGTTAACACATATATGGCTTCTGGTTAGAAAATATTATTTGGGGTTTTGTTGAGCAAATCATTAGGCATACTTTTTTTTGATCAAGCTTAAAAGTAAGGTTGACAAATGTAATGGTCCACCCAAAATCCATTTTACATTCAACATTGCAATTCTCCTTTGCATGGATTGAAGAGAATAATGATTGATGACATATCATGTAATGAAACCGATGTCCCGGAAGAAGCTTCATTCCTAAAAAGAATCTAAACTGTAACAGAAAATATTTAAAACGAGTTAGAAAAAGCGAATTGCTCTACATGTTTTCACCTAATCAAACAGTTTCAGGATTCAAAAAACATAACTGTCAGATACCACTTTACTACTTAACTCCCCCACAGACCACATAGCTACTGAAAAACAATTTACTTATTCATTCAAGATATTTGTGGCTTTGTAAATGATTTCTTTGTAACCAAATGCAAGGATAGGTGCAGTAGATATGTTGTTGATACATCAATACTCTGATAACTGAGTTCATTTTGAATCACCATAGAAATAAATAAATGAATGGTTTAGTTCCAAATATTGGTCAGAAGCAACCATTGTCTTGTACAATTCTTCAGGACAATGAAGAAGTGAGGACAGCTTTATGACTCTATTATGTTCTATACATATCCCCACATGACCCTACATTCATCAACACTTTATTGATCAGCACTGTCCATCTCATGTCTGGACTGTAATTTGTTATCTTTCTGTTCTTATGAAAAATGTTTATGTTGGGACAGGAAAGTTATGTTTACAGATGTTTTTCTTGTTAAGTGTAGATGGATAAGTGTATGTTTTAAGAGAAACAAACTCTGTTGAAGAACAAGCACTTGAGCAGTCTAAAGTTTGTGATTGAGCAGTCTAAAGTTTGTTAATCATAGATTGGGACAAAGCATAACCAGGAGGAATATCACCAGAAATTTGCCCCAGAGACACTTACAAATCTAAAGAATGTAATACTACATGTATTTCATATGTATATTAAAGCTGTCAGTCTCTGTTTCTATCACCCCTCTAATGGTTAATGTCCCTCTACCAATGTTTTATGTCCACTTTGACCAGGTGTGGACTGATTATGACAAATCAGGGAGAAACATGGAAATATCTTCATTCTTAACTGAGACTGACAGAATGCACAATATAAACAAGTATTTTATGTTCTCTACAACCAGGTGTAGACTAATTGTGACCAATGTCTCAATTCTTAATTTGAACTGGCAGCAAAATGCTACTTCGATCCTCATTTCAGTATTTTATATCCTTCTTACACAGGTGTTGAGAAGTGATGACAAATCAGATGGAAATATAGCAATGACCCATTTGCTAATTGGAGCTGACAACTAACCTCATTTCCTAACCATTTTACCAGTATTTTATCTCCCTTAACCTGTGTGTTATAACCTATTTACCAGGTGTGTGCTAATGATGATGAATCATTTGAAAATGCATGTCCTGAATCATAATAGTGCCTTCTGCTCCTCTTTTCCTCTTTGGGGAAATTACATTGATAGCAGTTGTTGATTAGTTATACACTTGACCACTTTTAACCATAAGAGAGGCTTATACCTTTAGGAGATGCAGTGGTGTAACCATTCATTTGCTACGAAAATTAGCAGAAAAGGTGAGAGAAAAGCCAGAAAGGGATGAAAGAAATACTAAACTGTGGGGTAGCTAAAATCATTACAATAGAGGTCATGTGGGATGGATCCAGCTCAGACATTCCCTCGGAAGCTACTGCTGCAAAAGATAAACAAAGGACAGTATCTATAAATTGCTTTCTTTTCACATGGCCAACATTCTTCTTTACCAGGTACTCTCCTCTCTATCAATGAGGTGGAAAGAAGGGATATGGCTTACTATGATGCACCATATCCAGTTCACAAAACAAAGACGAATTTTGTAGAACTTTTGTGACCTTACCTTCAGTGATGATAAATGTGATATCTTCACTACAGTCTTCACATTTCACATGTGTGGTGATCCTGCGTGCATTTGTCTGCATAAGTACCATTTTAACAAACTTTTATGTGCAAATACTATCAGATGTGTAGATCAAATTATTCTAAAATCCATGTTTATGTTTATGCTCCGCACTTTGAGGTACCCCAAAAATTATATCCATCATTGTTTAGTCTCTGTTACACTGTATATTTCCAAAGTGAGGGTCATCTAGTTCAAATATAGTTTACTATACCACAACAGGGCGTCCCAGATATCCAATTTCAGTAAATAATCTGTGTTTTGAACACACCACAATACAAGTGCAAAATCTAAACTTTCTTCTGTATCTCAAGCAATCTTATGTTTCGGTTTCATCAGCTGTAATGGTAAACACATCCCCAGTAGTATTAATCCATTTGTGATAAGAGGCTCAATCCGCAAAACCATAATCCCACAAACATGACCATTTTGTCCCGTAATCATCTAACAAAGGTAGCCATCCACCAAGGGGGAGAATTGTTCTCAATGTTGCTTTGACTTCCAGGAGGAAAAGTACTCAAAAATGGGTGCTCCCCCACATGTTAATTGTCTAGTGAAAATCGAAGGTTAGTGTGTACACACAAGAAAGTGATATTAACCTTGGAGCAAAGTTACATTTTGTTCCCTTATTCTTGAAAACAATAAAATGTGAGATATTTCCAAAATGTCAGAAATATGCGTACCTTAAAGAACTTACATTCTAAAGACTTAGAAAATATCAATAATTGACATTCATTTCATCAAGAAAAGAATATAATTTCAGGGTCAATATGAAATAGTTTGGCAGGGGTCCACTTTTCAACAGGACACATGCCACAAGCTAAATCCAGAAACAGAAGCCCAACATGCCCTTACAAATTGATAAGGTATGTTTGGTACTACTGATATTTGTAGTGGTATGTGTGGAATTGGGAATATTACCAAAAGTATTATATGAGTAAATGTGAAACAAACATTGTAAATGAGAGAATGAACAAGTGTGAACTTAACAATTTGCAAAATATGAACAATCTTGAACCTCTGCAGAATATGAACAATCTTGAACCTCTGCAGAATATGAACAATCTTGAACCTCTGCAGAATATGAACAATCGTGAACCTCTGCAGAATATGAACAATCGTGAACCTCTTTGCAGAATATGAACAATCGTGAACCTCTTTGCAGGATATGAACAATCGTGAACTTCTTTGCAGAATATGAACAATCATGAACATCTTTGCAGAATATGAACTATTGTGAACCTCTTTGCAGAATATGAATAACTGAATACCATTTGCGTGATTGCAGAAATATCTGCCTCAAATGAAAGAAATATTGCACCATGATAATCAATTTTAAGGGAAAAGGCTAAACTGTGACTATTAAATTTTTGACATTTTAAACAATATTTCATTTATCAATTACGAATAAGTAAACAAAATTGTAAGTTATGTAATCATTTTTCAAAGTTGGTGAACAGTCTACTGAAATTTTGAAAATTAAATCTTATATGTAAGTAAACATTTTTTGTACTTTTGTTAACACTACCATGGAAGACAAAGATTCGCAGGGTTCTTCCATTCCTCTCTCTATGATATCTCCTCTTAAATTACCAGAGTGGAATGCCAATGGGTAGAAACCCAACCCATAACTTGTCCAGTATCACATGTCACATTTGACCAGCTACACAAAATTGTGTCCAAACCATAGAACTTCTGCTTTAATCTTAATCCCCAGAAAATCAGGCGCTAAAACAAGTGCAGCATGATCCAGTAGTAGGGCCCCATGTTAAAGTTCACAAGAGCACGTGCCAGGCTTGGTGATAACAATATCTTGACAGGATTACACCCTAACATTAATCTTGATATTCAACAAAAGTCCAGGCCATTTTTCCTACCACTAACTACTTTTGTACTATACAAGTACTCCAGCAGGCAGCAGCAGGTTCGATGAGTTCGAGCAAACCCCCCCTGGCCAAAATGTTTTTCAAAATCATGCAGTTTTTCACCATTCTGAGCACTTTTTAAGTGAATTGTCACAAGTGAACCCCCCTGGAATTTTTCAAAAAGTGAATCCCCTTGGCAATTCCTGGCTATGGGCCTGTCCAGAGTATGAAGATTCTACCAAATTTCGAAGATTCATTGGTTTGGGATAAGAGGACATGAACTATTAATCCTAAGACAGGTCCAAGACATAAATCCTACCCTTACAAAACATTTTGTTGAGATCACAGACTCATCCTGAAAAAATACAAGTAATTGTTTCTAAATTGATAACTGCATACCAAATGTATGTATTTACATCATATAAAACATAAGCCAAGTTTGTGAAATTATTTTATGAGTAATTCTGCCAATTTAGTCAAAATCACCTCTGGAATATTGTACTAAGGGTCGATTTCAAATCTCCAAGAACTGACCTGACCATAATGATAAAGACAGTGAAAGTGATCAAGGATGTAATCATTTAGCCCCATCAGCTTATCTCATTCCTTGGGTATCTTGTTTCTCTGACTCAATATGGTTTTCATATGCTATATGTGACCTGGGAAACACTGATACCACACCCTTTCACTTTCTTGAAGTTCTAATCTGGATTCAAGCCTTTGTGACCTGTCTAAGTTCATACCTCATCTCCATTTTCACCATTTTTACCATTGTATACAAGAGAAAGGTGACGTAGATTTGGGAGGGGGGTTGTGGGTCCATATACTTCATATTAAACAATGAAAGCATGAAGGATGACTAAAGAGTGACTACAATTTGGGATGTCTAACCAATAGTCTAAGGCTTATACAAAGAATGATGAATCGTATTTGAAAGAAAAATGATTTTTTATTTCATTGATTTGAAAGTAGAAAATAAAGATTTGGAACAATAAAACGATTTTGGAAATATGTAAAGTACATGTATTTTGGCCTTGTCACTTTCTGAGGTGCAATTCACTTAATTAAGATTGCTTGCCCGAAAACCAGATCATTTTCTTCCAATATAAATTCAGTGCTACACAATCTAATCAGTTATAGACTTGATATATGGAATTATTCAAAGTGTGAAACTCTGTTGGCAGATATCCTATAAATCAAGCCTGAAAGTGAGCTGTTTGTCCATCTGTGTCAGCTGTCTAAGCCATATGAGGCTGTCAATCAACGAGAGAAATCACCTCGTAGTTTTTGGGAAGTTTGTTATACAATAAATCTTGACAAAAAAGAAGTCAGCTCTAATTGAAGAAATATTTAAAGTCATAATTTTCACGAAGCCAGCATGTTTTAACTTGAGAACTATGACCAATCATCCAGCAGAATTTTTGCCCTGGAAATGAACTACAGTTTGATGTCATATTAAATCTTTTTGGTTGATAGTGATGAAATGCAGCTTTGAATCCCTGCATGTAAAACAGAAATTATCAAACAACAGTATTCAAATACATGGGCCTTAATGTCCGTGTGTGAGAATGGGCAAGAAAATCAATCAAATTAGAGTCAGTTCTCAATTTTCTTCAATAAAGTCCAAGTGCATTGTTTGGAGTTGTTCCATACCAATTTCACTATTTTCTTAAATTAAGTTCACACTTGTAATCCGAGCCTTCATTTGGAATGGCTTCTAAGGATAACATTGATTGTTTGTGATAAGCGAGAGATTATGAAGACAGACTGGTCAAGACAGCTTACAGTTAATGTAGACAGCTTACAGTTAATGTAGACAGCTTACAGTTAATATAGACATGGTAAAAGGAGGCTTTATCCATGTTAGACAGATAAAAATCAATCAAACTTTAACTCAAGAGCATAAATGCTCAATATGGCACATATTTTATAAAGCATCCAAGTTCCTGTTTCCGATTACAATACAGTAGCATGTGTATAATGAATAAAACTCAATTGTTTAACAAAATATATTTTTAGCTAACTTTCACTTTGTAGTCTCGGCCTCCGGCAAAATGACCACTTCAATTAAACGGTGTCTTAGGAAGAGAAATCATCCATCATCAAGAGCATGGAATCAATAATATTTAACCAGACAAAAATATGGGTATACTCTACCATTGCAATAAATTGAATCTGTTTATGGGGATAACCAAATTCTGATACATATAACATCTTTCTGTTTCAACAGAAACATCTCATGGCTGAGGAGAAATGAGATGTCATGATAGAAGTTTCGAATTGCACTGACAACCTTTGTGTGAGATGATATCTTATTTATATAAATGTATAACTTATATATATTGTATATAAGTCCTAATTTGGAGGTCAGTAAATGAAGATAAACATTTTGGAAATGTATTCACAATTCATTCTTAAATTATTTCGCATCCAGGTTTTGTAATACCTATAAAATACAAAACAAATGTATTATTTTCCTCTATCAGAGACATCCAGTACAGTACAGTATTCTATTGCAAATTCATGTTTTGTCATATTCACTGCATGTTATGATATTCATGATTTAGGTTAAATATACTAACATGTACACATTAAATGTATTTCATTTTTACCATTTATTAAGCAATTAGGGATCACATAAAAACATAATAAATATGTTCCAAATCACCATAGTTAATTCAATTTTGACTTGAGCCCTCGAGATATAGAACTAAAAATTGAAAAACTTTTAGTTCCAAGGTAGCTTTACTTGATCTGAAGTAAGAAAAAGCTATAATCCAAACTGGACTTGCAAGTACAGTAATCTGTTCAACTGTCCCCCCAAATGAAATTAACTTTGTGGACGGGCAAATAACGATGTTTTAATTCAATCCCTAAAGCACATTGAAATACAAAGCAAAAGTCTCACTCGATAAGCATGAATTCTCTATTGTATAATTCTATATTACATATACATGTATTGATTGGTTCAAAGCAACTACATACTACTCTACAGATTCAATACTAAGAAGCTTCTCCATAGGTTCACATGTTAAAAGACAAACAGACTGACTAAACACAACCTTGCTAGATCTAACATGCAGCAGACATGCACGTTTACACCATCTTCATGACAGTAACCATTTCATGAGATTTACACTGTTACACATTTATTTTCTAAAAATGTTCTATGTTATGAGATTGTAATCCTGCATGGTTGAATGTTCAATAAAATTCTAATGATAAGGATTTTCTATCTAGTATCTACAGCTTCAGAAATTGTGTGTCAAAGATAGAGAAAGGTGCACAAAACAATTCTAAAATTACAATTTTTCACTATATGTTCTAATTTCTAAAACTACTGGTGCGCCATCTTTTGGTAGTGAACAAATGTGTAAATCAATGATGTAGCTGTGAAGAGAAAGACCCGGGAATGCTATGACATGCAATAACATTTGCATCTAAATAATAACAAACAATCTTAACTACAGAGGGTAACAAAATTGTATAAATGATACAAAGTTTTGTCACACTCTGTATTTCAAATAAACTTATATATGATGTGAATAGGTAGATTTTCTGATTGTCATGCTGTAATGTTTTGATGCCTCTAATATGCACAAATTCCAAGTTTTTAAATCACCATGAGCACTATTTTATATTATTGTGAACACTATTTCATATTATTGTGAACACTATTTCATATTATCGTGAACACTATTTCATATTATCGTGAACACTATTTTATAAAGTTGTGAACACCATGCATCCTAAAACCATGAATGTAAATATTTCTCAACACATTGCCAGTAACCATGGTAACCATATTATATCAGTATCAGAAAATAGACCTTCATCACAACTATCTAAAAATGAAATATGAATAAGAAGGGAATAAATGAAAATGAAAAGCGCCATTTTGTCATGGTGGCCATTTTGAAACCATGACAAGAAACAGCAAGCTTAGTAGGTCAGTTACAAGGGTCTCTAACATCTTGGATTTCATATAATTTTCACAATACAATCATTCAAAAAATGTCTTAAAGAGATATTTATTGAATTTTAACACAAATCATTCAATACATAATTGAAGGAAATTATGGTATGGGTCTAACATTTGTTCTAAATCATTACACCAAAATGTCAGAGAACCTTGCATTTTGCGGAAATCATACAGGATGAGACAACAAACAATTGGTCACTCACGATCATCGGAAGTTTCAGAAGGAGGCTCTGAAGGCCAGCGAGGGTCAATCCAATTAATAGTTCCAGACGAATGACTAGAAAAAACACAAGATATATCAATATGCGACGAGCAAAAATCAAACTCACCGTTATCCTCACAATCTTCGAGACGTTTTCTTTTGGCTGCGATACGTGGATCCAACCAATGAGTGACTTCTGTCGTGTGGCTAAAATATATCAGCTTGTTAGTCATCTTAGTAGAAATGTTCATTTAAGAAAAACAAAGAATGCCCGAAAACTAAATCACATTAATCTATATATTATACCAAATTACTGCACTTTTTACTTTTTTATCCCAAAGCATTTCATTTGAGATACTATATATAACGAGATTACACTGATTAGTAAACTATTTCTGAATGATCTAAAAAAAAGAATTCTCAGTACAAAAATGTCAAATAGCTTTTATGGTCTACGGCAGGATAATACTCATTAAGACACATCTCTTAGGAAAAAAATTCTGTCTGCCTTCTAACCTTGAAATAAGCACAAGCCATGAATGAGTGCAATGTACTCAAAAGATAATTGTTTTATGGATACTTTACAATATTGCTTGAGGTTGAAATTTAGTTTTGTCCATAATATTGCGAGTCAATCATATGACAGAGAAATTACAAAAATGAGGTTTCATTGAATAAATTGCATGAAAGGGAACGCTTACTGGATATACAGTAAAGATGTACTCGGTGTGGTTAGAAGTGACACGGTTCAGACACACAAGATATGTGGGCATAAGTTTGGAAAATTACCTTTGACAAACTGACTTTTCTTCAATCAAATCATATTTTAGCATTCTATTAACCTATTGTGACAATCTCCATACATATCACTACATTTTAAATATTTGCCATGGTCATTCTTCATATTACTTACAAATCCTGAAACTTATTAAGTAAATATCTTTCTGGACAATGTGCCTTGTCTTGACCATGCCACCTATAACCACCATGATGTTAACATTAATCAGATTCAAAATGTGATACCAACAAAAACATGTTCCTGGCAATATTTTTGTCAAACATACTCTATAAAATATGGTGTTCCATCATCAGTATACGACATTTCCCAATTAGGTGGCAGAGGCCCCAAGCTCGATAGACTAGGCGATCGCTCAAGGGACTTTTTTCTTGGTGTAGGAGTATCTTCATTTGCTTCTGTATATGGTGGTGATTGAGCTGCCTGAGTAGCTTCAATATTTGATCGGTTTCTCTTGCGTTTGCCCTCCGATGACGGATGAGCGCCTGGTAAGACACTTGTTGAGCTTGCACGCTGGACTTGTGTTGAGACTGGCTCCTTGGGTGGCTTGGGGGTTCCATAATGGTTACCTGAGAATATAAAGAACATTTGTGAGTTTAATTTGTTCCTTTCCCTTGATTGAATCTTTGAAATTACTTGAAGTATATGTAATAACCTTATCTGTGAAAGACCACTGATTCCCTTTACTTTATATTAACATTTGAAGAGAATGAAAGAGAGAAATAATTTGTGTTATCCCAAAATCATAGCGCACAAACATGGACAATCACATGGACAAAACATATACTAGAACATCTAACATACCATCATATAGTCCACTTTCTAAGAGGTTACCACTTTTCTCAAGGGCCATAAATTCCTCGGTGGTGAGGAAAGTGTAGTCCACTCCATTGATCTCTCCGGGGCGTGGCGTCCTTGTTGTGCCTGCAAATATACAATCAACAACTACAAATGAGGTAACATACAGGGTGGGCCAAAAAAAAGTTCACCCTTTTTCATTTTAATCTCATTTTTTTATTTTTGATGCAATCCCTTAAAAAATTGATATGTAGATAACTGAGACATTTCTAAACAAGGTCGATATATAACATTAGGTGTGTCTTTGGCTGTTTTGTTTTTAAAGTAAATGTTCAATATGTCCTCCTTGTTCCTGCACAACCAGTTTTAGTCTATGATGCCATTTATTTATTGCCGCGTTAATTGATTGTTGTGATAATTGTTCCCAACGTAAAGTTATTCTTTGTTGGAGTTCTTGAACTGAATGGATGGGAACACTATGAACATGTTTTTCTAGTTCACCCCACACAAAATAATCCATAACATTGAGATCAGGGCTATTTGGGGGCCATAAGTCAGGGGGGATAAAATCAGGTACATTGGCATGCAAGAACTCCATTGTCGCTTTAGATGTGTGCGAGGGAGCCCCAACTCTGAGTACCCCCTTTCCCTGCACTATAAAGCATGAACAGAATTAAAATGGCATCTTGTACAAATTATATTATGTAGAATTTAATAACTTATTCATTTGTAATTATATCATAAGTGTATTACATAAAACCATCAAATTATTATCAATATTGTGAACGTAAAAATGAGGAAAATTGGATAAAACCATGGATTTTCAGTAACTTGTTGACCAACTCATCTATGGTAGTATCGGGTATTTATAACAGTACTTAATTGTTTAAAGAGGTGTTTATCATCAACTCTGACTATTAATTAACACTCTACTTTGTAATATTTTGCATTAACTGACATAAAAATTATATTTACCATGATAACTTCTTTTCAAATTTCCCTCCTTTTTTTGAAATCCGCCATTTTGTAAATGAAGTGAATTTCTGGTTTATTTTTCATGACACACCATAAATATATTTTAGGTGTCATGACAACACTGTTGCATAAATTTCACTCAAATCCTAACAACATGTACAGAAATGTCTTAGCTATATACATATCAATTTTTAGAGGCATTGCATCAAAAATAAGAAAATTAGATTAAAATGAAAAAGGGTGAACTTTTTTTTGGCCCACCCTGTATATCGATAAATATTACACTGTGAAGAGCAAAATGACTACCATGCAATTTACCCATCATGCCCAAAACCTTATCAGATCTCGGCACAAGCCTGCTTTTGCATCTTTAAAAATCTGAATAGATAAGTAGTTTTTCTGGAATTTTCAATACAAGATTGTGTGGCACCGACCCAGTATCAAAAGACAACAAAAATAAAGCAAATTTTCAAAGTACGATAAAAATGACTGGAGTGCTAACCATCTACGGAATGTCTACGTGTCCGCTTGGCAAATCCTACCACAACCTGCCAGAGGGCGTCAGAGAGACTAGGCACAGAGACTGCAGAATATTGGGCATTCATATCAACAACCAAGTATATGGGACACTTTAACACTGGGCTTATGAGTGCAAAGAGGTGCTTTGATGTATTATTTCCAATGTTGCAAATGTCATTCTCGATACATCAATCATAATATTTGTGACAACAACGTGATTGTTTATCACATTTCAAGGAATCTGTCAATAGGGTTCACAGTGTCTCATCAGGCTTATGTTTATGTTTCCAAGTGGTATTATTGTTGGTTTAGAACTATTTTAGAGATTAAACAAATGTGTTTTTCATGTGTTGATTTACTATTGTGGCATTAAGCACAATTACAAACAATTGGCAATGAAGTCTATTATGCTATATGGCTCTTCTAGATCACTTTAACCTAGGTTGGTTATCACATTGCAACCTAGCCATTAATATCATATCTTGTTGTCATATCAAAAGTCATCAATATCATATCCTGTTGTCATATATCATATCGAATGCCATCAATATCATATCCTAATCATGCTGCTAAAAATATCCGATATATCCATTTTTCTGCCTAATTTATCATTCTCCTCCGATTGGTTGCATTTAATTTTTATCTTATCGAGATATCTGGGTAACTGAATTTACATTTAAACATGACGCATAAATAAAGCGAAGCACGCGTAAATATGGCCAAGTATATTAAGATTATCAGATTACCTGGATCATATTATCAAAGTAAACTTTAACTTACTATATAATAGATGATCTAAATTGGATTACTCTAACAGATTGTGTAAGACCACATTAGAGCGGTACAGTACAAAACTTTGGCATTCACTGGTTTTATTACAAAATTCAAATTAGAATGAAAAGTAATGAAATCACCCAGGAATGATAAAAACAGGCATTCAGTTAACCATATTATATAAATAGAGGTTATTTAATGGGAGGGATAGAATATGAATCTTATTCTGGGGGAAAACATGATATCTTGGAAAATATTAAAATCACACAGAAATCATATCAACAGGCATGCAGTCAAAATGCATATGCACTCCAAATATGAGACACATCCTTGAGAAAATAGTGTTGAATGATATACTGCTTGCCTTGAGTAATATCTGGAGGACCAAGGGAATGATAGAGTATTCAGTGCAATAGAACACACTCGAAAAGCCATCCCTTTAAAAAAATTATGGATGGTTAATATTGTTCATGGTACACATAGAGAATTAGGAATTACAGGAACAGACATTTAGACTCAAAATTTTAATTTTACATTAACTTCAGAGACATCTTTATAGGTACAATGGTATCACAATAAAATTTAAATGAAATAAAATTGATATCTTAGTAATAGATTGGATTAAAACCATCAAGGTCTAATATGTCAATATTACTGATTTTTTATTGATTCCAAGCAAGAAATATAACTCTGGGTGCCATAACTAAATACCACCATATTAAACTGCAAAAACAAAAACATCAAGATTTTGGTTAAAAGCTTTTAGGTGTGACATGAGATATGGGTGACGAGAGAAAGGTGTGACAGGGATAGGGGTAACAGGGGCAAGAAAACTGAAGCTAAACTGGACATTTGATGAAGAAAACCATCTTGGATAACCGAGCTATGACGTTTTTTCTGAAAATCAAACTGGTAAGCAAATATGAAAGAAAACTGCCATTATGCATGTCGACTTTTGGTGCTGAATTGTATAATTCAGTATGATGTATTATGAGAAATTAATCAAAATAAATAACGGATGAAGCATGAAATTATTGCTCCTCTGGTCAACTGGGAAATATCGAGTGACCCTCGAATAAAATGTCAATGCTGTTAACAAAGTGATAATAAATGGAATAATTTGTACAGGCAGAGAGTCCACATTTCTAGGAAAATCTGAATTTACAGTGTTTTCCTATAGGCCTTGAAATAGGACCCAAATGAGAACTTAAAATAAACTCAAAATTCATATGACCAGTTGGGAAAAAAATGGGATGATTCAACTAGTTTTAGGATATTTCCTTATCAGAAATGAGAATTTTGCACTTAGCTAAGAAAACATCCAGAGGCAAGGCTCCAACTCTTTTATTACATTATCAAGGTGGGATGAAAAAATAAGCTCAAGTCTAACATAATTGGATGACGTACAGATTTTGTACAATACATTTATTCTATATGGTTGATACAGAAAGACCAGTTTCATTTAAAACATTAACATTTTTTATCAAAAAAAAAAAAAAAAATCAAATCAGGACCTACCTTTAAGATATACAGCTGACCTTCTCTGCCAACCAAAGAAAAACCTAAGGCAATCCAATATAGACCCAGTCATGCTACTATTATCAAAACCTCATTTCTAAATCCAATCCACTGTCTTCATTCCCTTAAGCTATCACACGTCACCCACACATTATAAGATCTTCGAGCAATTCATGACATTTTCACATCTGAGAAGCACGAAATGCCCATCTTTCCATATTCTTCGAGTCACTTCTTTCAAGTGTTCACAAATCAAGAATATTGATTTCCGTACATTTGTTATTCCGTTTTATAGGTGAAGTCATAACTGTATGTTTGATCTATTTTTCATGGGAGGTAATGAAATTTGGAATTTCTTGACATCAATCTTGGAAACTCTTTGGTTAAGGTTATGTAATGTTTGTAATATTAATCCAGTTTTACATATAAATGATCCAGATTCATCCGTTAAAGCAGTCACAATTGATCGAACATTGAATTGATTTTAGGATTTTACATCCATGTATCCAACCAGTAAGATATCATTTGTATATTTTCAAATGAACTTTATGAATTGTTACATTATATGTCAACTCCTTATGATTAATTACCTCCTGACTGTAATTTATCACCTGTCCTAAACAATTCATTTTTATTAGTATACTAATTAAAAGACTATTTTATCTACCATATATCTCAATAAAGTCCTGTTATCGTCTTATTGAGGCATAACATGTAAATCGTTCTTTTTTATCTTTGGTCCATTATCTGCAGTATCACATATCTAAATATCATTTACTAAATACATTTACTGGTGCATGAAATGGTTTTTCAATCTGGGCGATCAATATCAAACCCGCACCAATCACCAAAGTAATTCATTTATATGCAAATATAATATTTCATCGGATCTACATCAAAAAGGTCGTAAAATAAATACCAATCTGGCCTGAGAGAGTAGCAAGCTCCGCCCCTCGTCATGTCGTACAAAACATCTCAAGCGAGTGATTAGCTAAGAGGATCGATGCTAAGATTCTCAGTAAAATGTGGTCAATATATATAAACTTGACAGATAATCTGCCTATGGATTATTATAATCAGAATGATAAGTTCACTCCCGTATTGTTCAATTCCCATGTTTCTCATGTACCCATTTACCTTTTACCATCATATTCCCATTCTCTTTAATTTTTCAAAGTTGAAAGTTATGTATCAATCTAAGCAATCCTGGCTGTCGATTTAAGTAAAATAAATTTCATTGGATCAAAACATGAAAACCGATGGCTCTTTTTACAGAGATTTATTTACTCCAGGTCAATATGATTACTAACACATGTAGATGATCCATAATATGAGCAAGTAACAATGATTTTGCACAGATAAATACTATTCAAAAATTGCTATAGGTTCTTTTTGACTAATTTTACTTAAATTCAATATTGACTAAAAAGTCAGAGATGAAGAGGCCAAGATTTGTCGACTAAAAGAACAGAAAGCCATTAACACCTTTCTTATACTGGAGTGGAACTTGATAGGGGGGGGGGGGGGGGTTGATAGCCTTCTTGCATGATTAATGTCATCTGCATAGTTTGATAACAACCACCGGCATAACGATAACACTACATTAGACATTATCTGTTTTAACACTCTCAGTGATAAAGAGAGAGAGTGACTTAAGAGACTGGTGGTGACATATAAACAACACTGAATAGTGAATAATATACTTAGCAGTTATGTCCCTATCATTGAATATATGCCTGAGGTCTGTCACCAATATAGCCCGAGGAACAAAGAGAGTGAGGAGCCAACAAAGATGTAGTTCAAGCATTTACCCCCCCCCCCCCCAAAAAAAAAATTAGAACGTGCATAAAATACTGGTTCTGGTCCAGTCATCCTTACTGCAAGTGTATATGGTATTTTAGAATTTAAGCATAAATGACGTTCTTTGAAGAAGGATAGTTTCTGGTTGTTCTGAGAACATATTTGGCAATAAAAAGATTATGGATTTTAAATGGTAAAGTCAACCTAGATGTAATGGTTCGGTTATCATAGATCATCCAATGGAAATCCTTGGTCTAACCTTCAAGGCGGGTCAAAAAGAAAATTAAAGTGGCTATTCCGCTCAAGGTTGTATAACATGATGATTCATTACCTATTAATATCAAAATGTCAGAAATACAGATGTATCGATTTTGGTCAAGAAATTATATATATTTATGCCATCTATTGGAATAAATGTCAAATTAATCTGATAAACATTCATTAATTTATTTTGCATTCCAGATTCCAACCAAAGTCAAGAGAAAATTTAAATATTCTAATAAACAACTTACCTTGCTCCAACTGGTATAAACAGGTATTTTCAAGTGAACACAGGATTTACTTAATTGAAGACACGCATTTATCTTGTGAGTAGAATGGTAAAAAACCTGATGATGTTGACGCTTTATCATTGATTTATCAGAGCCCCTATAATGATTTCTCTGTGTATTTCAAAGAATAGTAAATTCTGAGGATTCCACAATGGTGCTTTATTGGTATCTTATCCTAAGATTTTGATACTAACCTTTTACATTTGATTCATTTTCCTCCTGAATGTCACATAGACTTTTTATACATGGAACACTTTGAGATACAAGAGCCTCAATTTGAATCTGTCGCTGGCGTTGACGTTCGACAAGTGAGAGTAACTCAGATTCTAAGATCGCTAATATGCAAGACAAAAAATGTATAAAGCAATGAGAGAATTTGGAAAAAAAACTTTTACAAAATTCAGATATAAACTTGAAAATTAATTTCCTAGACTTGCTTCAAGCACTTGCGGCCCACCTCCCCACCCCAATATACACCACAAGGATGTGAAGTAGACAGGGGAGGGGTGGGGTTCAGAGACTCAATACAAGACTACATGCATTAACAACTTCAATCTATTTTAAATATTTGATTTGTTATTTGAAACATAGAATTAACCTGATGAAAATGTCCTTTTTAATTTCCAACCCCTCATTGCTTCAGACAAGGTATCATCAGTTCAGTTCAGTATAGTTATTTATCACACATTTCAACAATATCAAGTCAAATATCATTCAATGAATGCCACATCACTGCATATTGATCAAATCAGTGATCCAAATACTCCTCGAATTCTGGAGATTTAATTAAAAAACTTAAATTTATTCTAAATCTTATCCAGTATTGTAATATTCCCAATTTTCTCTTCCAATTTTCTAAATCCAGTATTGTAAATGTCTTTCTTCACACACAAGTTTTGAATGTTGATTTTTGTAGTCCCATATGTCACATGGTTTCTAATTAGGTGACTCACAAAGGAACATAATTAATACATTTCCTCTACGTTTGCTATTAGATATTCCTCAAATACTCCTTTAACTTCCATAATAGTGATTCAATTTTTACAAATTAGAAAATCGTAGCTGATACGTCACATCCAAAAACTGATCCTCATTTCTTAGAATCCACAAGCACTAATTAAACTTAAAATAATGAAGCAAAATCCATTGTGAACTTTATACAAACAATTGATAACCTGTAATTTCTGAACTAATTAGACCCTGAAATAAGATACATCTCACCCAAAATGACCTCAAGTTTACAGAGACACTACATGACAAGATGCTTATTGAAGGTTACTGGATATTGCTATCAACTTGGTAGCAACTACAGATTGTCATTGGATATATGATCTTTGTTCCATATTTGGTTACATTTTTAATTAATTAAGAGATAATTAGAATATCCTTAAATATTTAAGTTCATGTTAACATTGTAGTCTGAGGTCATGTCCTACACTAGTCTTAAAAGTCTGCATTAATTAAAGGTTTATAATGCTGATCCAAGATATTGAAGTCCAATTTTGATTCCAAGTATTATAATATGTTCCTAATTATTTACTGTGAATGTAATTCATTGAAGAGTAAAATAAATAGGTTATCCTTGATGGTTTGTTATAATACAGTAAAACCTGTCTCAGTGAACACCTCTCTCAGGTGAACACCTGTCTCTAATAGACACCCTTCCTCCGCACATACTCTACTGATTCTGTACAAATTACCCTTTCTGAAGTGAACACTTTCTGAAGTGAACACCTACCAACACTGAATGTTTTTTCAAATAAATTGTTCATTATACACAGGTTTTACTGTACTTACAGTAAGGGTATAAGTAACAGTAAAGTATCCCTGATGGTTTGTTACAATACTTTCATGGAACAGTAAGGGTATAAGGTGATGCTTTGTTGTAATACTTACATGGAGCTGTAAGGGTATAAGGTTATCCTTGATGGTTTGTTGTAATACTTACATGGAACAGTTAGGGTATACAGTTATCCCCGATGGTTTGTTGTAATTCTTATTGAACAGTATATAATATGTGAACAGGTTATCCCCGATGGTTTGTTGTAATACTTACATGGAACAGTACGGGTATACAGGTTATCTCTGATTGTTTGTTGGAGGTCATGGTCGACTGAGGATTTCTGGAACCGAGTATTTAAATATGTACGCAAGTCTCGCGTCAGGAAACCTGAAATGACATAAAAATTGATGTGAATAATACAATTAATAAATAGTGATGATGAAAAACATTTGAAAGATTTAATAGATGAGCAAACAGTGACATCTTTCAAAAGGATGGTAAATATTATAACAAAAGCATGGTTCAATCTTTATTATTCATCAGTTAGGGATCTATTGATTAATGATCAAATTTAATTTCATCGAGACACAGGATCAATGAAATGGAGATTACCTGGGCTAATAAGCCTTACACTAAAGCATATTTTAATGATAACATGATGTTATTGTTATTGATATTGTTTAAAGAACACAGTTTTTCTCAACATAAACGTTTTTTCTGAACATAAAATTAGAAGTGGCACAGTAAAAAAGAGCCGGGGGGGGGGGGGGGGGGGGCACTCTTGCAAAGCCCCTGGAAATACTTGAGTTGAGGTGAACAACCCATTTATTCACAAAGAGCAATTTCCTCATTGGTCACAGGTTTAGAGACAATTATATATTAAGGTAGACATAGTAGGATGAGAAACAAACGTATAGGTTAGCATATACATGTATATAGATATAATGCAAAGATAGGTCCCAGAGGGATATGTCCCCGCCTACCTTAATGTTTGACTTACATGTGAACCAATAACAATAAATCAAAGAGGTGTGTGGCATAAATGCTTCACTCTATATAGCAATACAAGGAAACATTAAAATTATTAAGAGCTGTAATATTTGTTCTCATAGATAATCCTCCAATAAATTTTAAGTATGAGCATCATAAGTGGATCTGCAAACTATCATGCCCCGAGTGTACAATGTATATTTAGCTTCCCGCCATGTTTTTCGAGTGTTTTACACTACTCAAAACATACGATTTGAGACGTCCCTCCGAAAAATCCATAAAGCTCGTAACATTTTTGTTGATTCATCCGTTGCATGTTATGCAAGTAATTAGGTAATATAAGTAGGTAATAGATTCCATAAATCATTACAAATCAGTGAATAAACAAACATATACATAGTTGTTAATTTTAGATGTTTATCAAATTATAAGAAAAGAACTAAAGGGGCAATGTCTTATTATCAGTTTAAGACTTAAGAGTATCTTAGTAGTAACATCCTAGCACATCTTCACAATAAACAGTAGAACAAATAACATATAAAACAAAACCTCAAGATTAGAGTTCAAGTTTAAAAAAAGTTATTTATGTATCCCTTCTTGGTTGTATAATTACATCCCTTCTGGGTTGTATCCCTTCTTGGTTGTATAATTACATCCCTTCTGGGTTGTATCCCTTCCTGGTTGTATAATTACATTCCTTCTGGGTTGTATCCCTTCTTGGTTGTATAATTACATCTCTTCTGGGTTGTATCCCTTCTTGGTTGTATAATTACATGGGGTAAAAAAGCTAAATACTGTGTGGGATCAATCTGAAGTGCGACACACTGCCACTTTAAGTGCTTTGTTCAACAATAAATACTTACAAATTAGTTAGTAAATTAGAAGTCATTGCACAATTAAAATGATTTCAACATTACATAACTTAGTTCTAATTAATCTGGTAAATATTTTTCTTGGAGGTTATTGCCACCATTTTCATATGGCAGGCCTTTACCTAGACTCCAAATTTTACAAACCAAACCATTGGTTGATCAAAGAATTGCGAGAAAACAAAGAAATTCTGAAAAGATTAAGGGCAAATTTAGAAAGAGACTGTTGCCTAAACATTATGATAAGCCAATCCTTCACCATGTACGATGTACCAGAGAGGGATGCTATGAGAATGTTGCCTGATGGCCTCAATGGAAGCGTGGGCCTGTGAGAAGAGAGTATATTACATAGTCATAATTATCTATCATTGTAGCCTATTAGGTACCATGTGGAGTAAAGTGATAAATCACAATCACATATGTCAAAATGCCACATTTCTCATTGTAACTAAAGGAACAACAAGCTTATTTAGAAATATTGACATAATTTCACATGTTTCTTGCAAACGATTTAAAACGCAATAAAGTAACAAAATGATTCAATTGTTTTTATATCATTGATCAATTTATGAATGTCCTTTATTTGATTTCCTCAGTGATTTTCTACATAGTCTTTAGGTAAATGAGAAAAGGATGTATGGGTGTTACACATACTAATGGCAGAGACCACAGAACAACTGAGAACTGTAGGGAAATGATCCGTTTATATTTCATTGAAAAATGTAGACATCACAAGGTAACCTGCCCTGTGAATTCCAAAATTCTGAAAGGTTCAGTATCAAATGCCATTCCAATACATCAATTCATGTTCCCCATATAGCTTAACTTCCAGTTATAAGTCTAAATCTTGCTTGAGCTCCGATTCATTAAATATCACCATTTTCAATAATTGTGTTTTGCTCCTTAAAAAGAGTATCTATTATCACGTGTTTCTATGTCTCGGGGTTAATTCTGAAAAAGTTGAATTGTTTAGATGTGAATTTGAAGTGACACCATTCCATGGTGCCGTAACTGAAACCAAACTAAAAAAGCAATAAATGTCAGTTCCAATAGTCCATCATTGTCCAAATTCTAGATCTATTTTGACATCTACCTGATCTATTGCTACATATGTTCTTGGAAAATCAGTTTAACTTCCAGTTTTTTTCTATCAATGGAATTTTTATCACATAATGATTGGTCATTTCATGGTTGGAAAATTTAGTATGTCAGGTGATGAGGATAAACTTCAAACACATTGTAGCTGCTTTCTTATATATTCTCTTTTAAAGCAGCACAAAGAGCAATATTTGAAACACATTATTTAAGCAACATTAACTCCTATAAATCAAACAATCCATATTGATCCAAAAACAACTACAACAAGTTCTTGTATAATTTATAATGTTATTTGTACATATTTTAGTCAAATAAAAAAATAAACAAAGAAACAAACTTTTCATGACCTAAAACAAACATAAATATGACAAATCACCAAAATTAAAACTGTTGTAACTTTTGTGACAACCCCACCCATCTTGAAGATGACAGAAAGTGGAAAATCAAATAAGGAGGAAAGGTAGAGACAAGCAAATCAAGACAAGAATAGTAAAAAATTACATTTTGCGAAAAATAAGATAAAATTGCCCTGAAAGTAAGTGATTTGTTACATTGATCTTAGGCCAATAGATAAAAATTGATACTACTTTAGCAAAAACCTTAAATAAATCATACTTCCAATTTTTCTTCCATGTATCGTGTTAACAGTTGTAAATATTGCTTTCCAAAATATTTGAAAATATAGAATTTAAAGCTCTCTAGACATAAACATTGGAACACTTCTTTGTGATATCTTATACAGCTAAATTATGTTTTTGTGTTTTTGTGATTTTCCAAATATCGAAAAATCAAATCTACAAAACAATGTGATTTTATAGAAGGGAAAGTCCAGAATATACAAATTGCAGCTTTACAAAAAATGTACAACCTAAATGCGTAACCTTGACTTTTACATGATGTAGCTTCAAAGAGGTTTTTAACACTCAGTGTTTATACTTTCTGTTTACCTGTACTATAAATCATCATTCTTTACTACTTAGCATTTCAGTAATATTTCGTTAAATGATGGGTAAAAATGAGTTACTTTACTCAGGGCTCTTCACATTTTGAGTGGTGGTGGAGAAATTTTATCAAAATTGAAATTAAAAAGAGGAAAATGTGCCTATGTAAATAAATAGTGATTGGTACTTATCTTAATTAAGTAATAAGTAACTGGTGCAAATTGTACCATAATGGTGTTCAATAATGATTTCATATCTGCTTTGGAATTTACGAACAAAAAATTCAGAGCAATTATTTGAAGAATTTTTACAACTGTTACCAAAGCAACTAATACAAAGACTAAATACTTCAAGAAAAATCATTCTGGAGCTTATCTACAAATTTGTTGTTTACCTCACTCAAAAATTAGAGCCAAATCAAGACTAAATATACTGCTTGATTAAGATTATTTTTTCAACACGCTGGGCCAAGTGTGCCTAATTGTTATAAAAATATATCACCTGGCGCAAGGTTAGGTGAAGACAAATAATTAGACCAGTCTTCAAGAGAGAGTAACCCCATGTTCTGAAAGATGATGAAATGTTTCAAACTTTCTGTTATAATATGATACAACTGTTTGATAGCAATATTCTTGGGTTCATTAGCTGGCCCCAATTCTCTTTCTAGTGAACCTTACTTTGATTCTCCTGAAATAGTATATACATGGGCCCCTCAAGATACATATTCTAAGATATCAAACCAGAACAATAATAGAAAAAATGCCCAAAAAATTACAAAAAGACTTAATTTTTGATATATCACCTTATCGTAATTCATGAAATTTTTAAGACACCACAGTCACCATGGCGATTGCTGACTATTATGGCCAGAAAACAAGTGAGATCTCTGGTATTTACATATATACCTCTTGGCAGGAACATGACAGCAAGCATTGCAATGCTATATGAGCCATGTAGCCAACCAGGTGCCAACATTCCAGGTGTAAACCTTGGGGATAACCCTGACCCTAGCTCAGGCTAGTGCTAGTAAATACCCCTCTGACTAGAACTAATCATTTAATAGTGTGCCATTAAATCAATCAAAGAGTATCAGAGCCATATTGCGTTTGTTTATTTAAACATATGTAAAATCTGTCTTAGTGGAATGCTGTTGGTACCTCTGGAAAGTGTTCCACTTGGGAGGCATTCCACTTTACAGGGTCATTCAACATTAAGTCAATTGGTTTTAGAACTCAAAAGTGTTCCATTACGAATGTGTTCTACTTCTAGAGGTGTTCAACTATACAGATTTCGCTGTACATGTATAGAAATCACCATGGCTAAGAAATCACAGGTTACCACTTGTCAATTCAGAGTTATAATTTGTTGGAAGAGTACAAGACAGACAACCACTCTTGTAAAGAGTACCTGGGATCTACCAGAAGCTACAAATTGATACATCAGACATGTTATACCTGGCAGCAATTAAGGTGATATGATCTGGCTTGTA